CACCCCCTCACTTTCAATCTGCAGATGTCCTGAGGTCTAAAATGAGTCTCTAGTAGGCAGCATATAGATGGATCTTGCTCTTTTTCTTTTTTTTAATCCATTCTGATACCCTATGTCTTTTGATTGGGGCATTTAGTGCATTTGCATTCAGAGTAATTATTGAAAGATACGGATTTAGTGTCATTGTGTGTTCTGTAGGTTTCATGCTTGTGATGATGTCTCTGGTGCTTTGTAGTCTTTGCTGCTTTCCATTCAGAGTTCCCCTTATGATCTCCTGCAGGGCTGGTTTAGTGGTCATGGACTCCTTTAGTTTTGTTTGGGAAAGCCTTTATCTCTCCTTCTATTCTGAATGACAGCCTTGCTGGATTCTTGGCTGCATATTTTTCCTATTCAACACATTGAATATTTCCTGCCACTTCCTTCGGGTCTGCCAAGTTGCAGTGGACAGGCCCGCTACTACCCTTTTGTGTCTACCCTTGTAGGTTAAGACCCAGAATTCTCTGTCTTTGTATTTTGCCAGTTTCACTATGATATGTCATGGTGTTAACCTGTTTTTTATTTTGAAGGGAGTTCCCTGTGCCTCCTGGACTTGGATGTCTGTTTCTTTCCCCAGATTAGGGAAGTTGTCAGCTATAATTTATTCAAATAAACCTTCTGCTCCTTTGTCTGTCTCTTCCTCTTCTGGAACTCCTATGATACAGGTATTATTTTATTTTATTGAATCACTTAGGTCTCTAATTCTCCCCTCGTGGTCTAGTAATTTCTTTTCCCTCTTTTTTTTCAACTTTGTCATTTTCCATAATTTTATCTTCTATCTCACTTATTCTCTCGTCTGCTCCTACATCCTTGCTGTCACTGCATCTAGTTTATTTTGCATCTCATTTACAATATATCTTAATCCATCATGACTATTTCATAGGTCTTTGATCTAGGCAGCAATAGATACTCTGCTGTCTTCTATGTGTTTTTCAAGCCCAGCTATTAGTTTTATGACTGTTATTCTAAATTCTTATTCAGATATATTGTTTATATCCAGTTTGAGCAATTCTCTATCCTTTATTCCTGGAAATTCTTTTGAGGAGAATTCTTCCATTTTGTCATTTTGGGTCACTTTCTGTCTTTTACATCTTTCAATGGCTTGTTATGTGTCCTGCACCTGCAAGTACTACCATATTAGAAAGGAGTCATACACTGTCCAGGACCTGGCACTTCAGCAAGTGTTTTTGGGGTGTGTTGTGTCTACCCTGTTGTTACATCTTTGGCTGTTCTATCCCACTGCTTGGAGTGGTGGATTGTTTGGACCTTCCACCAGGTGTGCTTTGATTTGTTCATTGAAGTAACCCAGAAAAAAGGAAAAAAAGAGCACATGAACCTTATCCCATACAAAGAGCGAAATGAAAGGGGCAGGGGGAAAAAAAAGGCCAGACAGAGAATCAAAGAAACTATAAGGCTTAATCCAGAGAGAGAGGAAAATAAAGACGAAAGAGATACAGAAAAGGTGTAAAAAGAATAGAATAAAAATGCCTGGTTAAACAAATGAACACCTAGAACAGAAAGAAAAAAAGGATGTATATATATATATGTGTGTGTGTATGTGTGTGTATATATATATATGTACTTATATGTATATACACTTTTATGTGTAAACACATGCACATACATATATATGTATATGTAAATATATAAAAAATAAGAATTGACCAAAAATGAAAGCAGAAACCATGAGCCTGATTCCAAAGGGAAGAAAAAAAAATCAGAGGGTACAAAGTAAAAGAAGGGAAGAGAGAAGGAAAGAAAAGAAAAAAAAATATTTAAAACAAACTAGACTAACATATAAAACCACAGGACAGTTGTCTGTTGGTGCCTGGGATCAGTGGCTATGCTGATCTTGAGGATAGACTATCTGGTTCGGTTAGTGTCAGCCCTACTCTGGTAGAAAAGCCGTTATCAGGCATGGAGGGGTGGGGTTTGGTGCAAGTGGGTCCTGCCTCCACTGGGGGCCTCTGTCCTGTTCCCTGAAACTCCATTGTGTTGGTGATGGGGGGGGGGGGGAAATGGCGACACCCAATTCTCTCCTCCCCAGACTGGATGTTTCAAACCATGCTAGTCAGGCAGCCCTCATAGGACTGCCTGCCCTGCTCCACAGTCCTGTGTACCTCCTAGGCTCTCAGCTGGGATGAAAACCTGGTGACTGAAAGGATCCTGTACCACGTGGACCTGTTCTGGGGTAATACCATCCAGGCACCCCTAGAATATTTTATTTATTATTGTTTATTGTGATTTACGATGATGATCTTTTATCATGTTTTATGCAATAGAACTGACATGCATCACTTGTTAATAGTGTGAAATGCCTATTCTTCATGGGTACAGATAATTTTATAACAGGTATTTATAAAATTTAGTTTGGTAAACATTGTTTTATTAAATTCTTCATTTTCTCAATGCTATATTTATTTTGCAATTCTGGATTCTCATTTATTTAGATTATCCATCAGATAAGCTTGGTTTGGATTACTTACCATTGTAATATACTATCTGTCCTGCAGCATTTATTTGTATGACATATACAAAAAATTATGTATAATACTTTTTTCTCATCGGTTATGAGAAATGTATTTACTGCCAATTGGTACGTGCTTTGGGGTCATGGTGGAAAAATACTGTATCTTAGAACATGTGTGGACAAGGATGTGGAGAAAAAGGAACCCTTTTGTACTGTTGGTGTGAATGCAAATTGGTACAGCCACTGTGGAAAAGAGTATGAAGGTTCCTCAGAAAGTTAAAAATAGAGCTACCTGGGGTGCCTGGGTGCCTCAGTCAGTTGAGTGTGTGACTTTGGCTCAGGTCACGATCTCATGGTTTGTGGGTTTGAGTCCCATCTCAGACTGGGCTTTGCACTGACAACTCAGCCTGAAGCCTGCTTCCTATTCTTTGTATCTCTCTCCCTCTCCCCCTCCCCTGCTGGTACTCCGTGACTCAAAAATGATTAAACGTTAAAAAAAAAAAAAAAAAAAAAAAAAAAAAAGCTATCATACCATCCCATTATCACACTAGTGGGTATTTACCCAAACATTACAAAAACACTAATTCAGAGGGATACATGTACCCCTATGTCAGTAGCATTATTTACAATAGCCAAATCATGGCAGCAGCCCAGGTGTCCATTGGTAGATGAATGGGTAAAGAATATGTGGTATATATATACAATGGCATCTTATTCAGCCATAAAAGAATGAAATCTTGCCATTTACAACTACATGGATGGAGCTAGACAGTATAATGCTCAATGAAATAAGTCTGTCAGAGAAAGACAACCATATGATTTCACTCGTATGTGGAATTTAAGAAAGAAAGCAAACAAGCAAAGGGAAAAAAGAAAAGACAAACCAAGAAACGCTTTTTTTTAAAGCTTATTTATTTTAAGAGAGAATCCCAGGCACACTCCACACTGTCCGTGCAGAGCCCGATGCAGGGCTCAAACTCACAAACCATGAGATCATGACCTGAGCTGAAGCCAGGCACTTAACCCACCGAGCCACCCAGGCACCCCAAGAAACAGACTCTTAACTATAGAGAACAAACCGATGGCACCAGAGGGGAGGTGGGT